AAAAGATCAAAATAAAAATTATTTGGTCGAAAAAAATCAAAAAATATCAAAAAATTATGCCTCAACAAAACCAAAATTTTTAACAAATTTACAAAATAAAAAAGAACAAAATAACCAAAAACAACAATTATTACCTAATTTATGTGATTTACAATTAAAAAATCCTTGTCAAAATAATGGGACGTGTTTGTGGAATGAAAATACTGAAAAATATTTTTGTAAATGTACAGAAGAATATTTTGGTGAAAATTGTTCTAAACAGATTGGTGAGAGAGGAAAATAAATTTTTTAAAATTAAAATTTAGTTTTATAGAAAGGAAATATTTTTTAAAATTTATTACAAAATTTTCTAACCATAACAGAGTCAGCTCTAATTATTAGTGTTTCCCCGAAACCGAAATTTTGACCGGAACTGGATCCAATTTTAGTTCCGGATTCCGGAACCGGAACCAAAAAACGCCGGAACATTCCACAACCGGAATTTCTGGTGAAACTACTAATTATAAAATGCACCTAATATTAGATATACCTCTCAGTTTAAAATGTTTTAGAGAGAGGAGTTTAGGGAGAGGAGCTGTATTAGCATACCTATAAGGTAGAATTTTTGCAAGGAAAAACGTCAGGTACAACAATAGAACACTTAATATAAGACATAAAAATTAGAAAAATATGAAAAATGGATAGAAACATTTTTTAAAAGATTTTAATCCCTGTACTCAATCGCCGTGTTTGAATGGCGCTACTTGTTCGGTAATTGCTGATGCTGAGCATGTCGATTTTGATTGTTTTTGTACTGCCGGATATGCGGGGAAACGTTGTGAATTTAGTTTGTATTTTTTAAATAAAAATAAAAAATTTTTTCTTTAAGGGCCTTGTGATCAAAATCCTTGTAAAAATGGGGGGATTTGTAGGTAATTAATTGTAGATTATTAATAAAAAGAAATTAATTTTTATAGAACAACACGTTCCTCTGCACTATTCTTTTGTGCTTGTAGTTCTTCATGGGGTGGCAAAACATGTTTAATTGGTAGGGAATATTTTTCTTAAATCAAGAAAAAAATTTATAACGTCAATTGAATAAGATAACCCCACTTTAAGATACATAAACCTAATACATACATAATGCTTCTCAGTTCATGTTGTTCATTAAAATTTGGTTAGATAGCTGTTTGGTGTATGTTTGGCGGATCCGGATCCGAAAAAAGGCCGTATATCCGGAAATTTTCTGTTCGGATACCGGATTCGGATATCCGAAGATTTCCAACTATCCGCCAACCTTAGTTTGGTGAGCTGCTTAACCAAGAATAATCCAAAGGATATATTAGTTCCTTCAAAATTGCTACAAGATGGATCGAATTTATGTTACTCGACTCGGCGTGCCGAGACTAAAGGTAGCATTCTTTAGGTACAAAAATGCATGAGGACTGAGATATATGTAGTTCCTCGAAAATTAAAAAAACCATAGGAGGACCAAGTTTTCTGTGTTTGACTCTAAATATTTTTAAAAATTCAATTTAAATATTTTTACCTCCAATCTAGCTTTACCTCCAATCGAGGATGATGACGAATATTGGGAAGCAACAGCTTTAGATGCCAACTTTACCCAACAACTTTCTAGTGGAAAAATTGAATGGATAGAACAATTAAAGAAAATAGACCCCTCAACACTAAACGGAACTGAAGAAATTCCTAATACAAATTTATTCGAGCAGGCAATAGGGGAGGAATTGCCAATAAGAGCACTAAAAAATTCAACGAGTAAAAATGGGGGAATTTCTATTAAATTTATTAGTAAGGAAAAAATAAAAATATTTGTAGGGTTATTAATTTTGTATTATTTCAATTATTTTTAAATTTTTGATTTTTGAAAAAAATTTTTTTTGAATTAATTTTAGACTAATTATTTTAATTTAAAAAATATTAGAAGCAATTTACCCAGTTTAAATAAAAAATTGCAAAATTCTAATAAAATCAGATCTCAGTTGTACCTTACTTTTAGTGCTTAGAAAATCGACGTCAAAGTGAGAGTAAAGGAAGTACAACGGAGATCCGAATGTATTTAAAAACGGTCTTGATCAATCCCAATTAAATGATAAAATGCAAATAATTCTTTTTTTGTTACCCAAATTCTTTAACTCAATTTAAATTTCTTTTAATATCCCTCATAAAAACCCACAAAAAATAAATTCTCGTTAAATAACCCTCCCCAAAAATAAATTTAGAAAAATTCCAAAATCCATTTGTTTCTTCCCTTTTTTCCTTCATAAAACATATTTACTAAACCCCAACAACACTTTCAATTGTTTGAAGGAAAACATTTTTTGCCGTAAATCCATTGTAGTAATTTGAAAGAATTTCGTCTTTCAATTCGGTTATTGTTTCTTGATATTTATTGCTAAAAGATATTTTTAGAATTGACCACTTAGAATTATCAAAAACTACTCAGAACCAGAGGTGGGTCGGAATCAGGGTGGCCTTCTCCAAACCTCTAAAATAGGGCGCAGCCACTCGAAAATATGGCGAAAATAGGGCGAAATTAGTCAATAATAGGGCAAAAAATAGGGAATTTTTTTAAAAAAAATAAAAATAATTAAAATTTTAAATAAAAAGCTTTATTCCGCATGTTCTCCACTAGTTTTGACTTAATTGAGCAGATCATGATGAAGCTGTTTCTAAAAAATATATTTCGAAAAGTGTAAATCGATGAAATACGAATATCGAAACTGAAAATAGTTTCAGAAATTTTTGAAATCGAAAGTTTACAGAGAAATAATCTCGAAAATCGGAAACGGAAGTCAAACCTTAAAGTTCGGATATCCGAATTTGGATCGATTATGGCGCAAAATACATAGGGAAATTTTCTCTCGTCTATCTCGAATAATAAGCTGTATTCTCCTTTTCAGCGCCGGAGGCGAAAATTTTTTCAAATTTTTGATTTCCAAGAGGTCTGCCTTCTTCCATTTTTAGCAAAATTTTGACAATTTTGAAAGGTTAAGAAGCGAGATTTCCTTTTAAAGCGCCGCAGGCGAAAATTTTGGGAATTTTGAAGTTCAAGATTCAGATTTCTTTGTTTTTTCTCATTTTATTTACAAAATACCAGAAAATTTGAAAAATATTATAAAATGCTAAAAATAGGGCAAAATATGGCAAATATATAAAATAGGGAAAAAATAGGGCGGAAAGAGCAAAAATAGGGAAAATCCTCTAAATAGGGTAAAAAGGCCACCCTGGTCGGAATTCCGATTTCCGGCTCTTCCGATTTTCGACACCTTTGACTGTTCCGATCCACCTCTGCTCAGAACCTTCCATACGTAGATTAAGGAGATGAATAAAAGTACACAAAACTGAGGTGTTTTATAAATTACGTTATAGTTATACCCTACTAGAGTTTCACCGGAAGTTCCGGTTCCGGTTCCGGTTCCGGAAAGTTCCGGTGTTTTTTTGGTTCCGGTTCCGGTTCCGGGAACCGGAACTCAAATTGGTTCCGGTTCCGGTTCCGGCTCCGGTTTACAAATCGGTTCCGGCCAAACCGGAACTTTTTTACACCCCTAAGGATTGGTTTTTTTAAAAAATATGGGTTGGCCTTGCAATATTTTCCCCAGTTGGTCTTCCAAAATTCTCAAAATTTTCGCCTGCGGCGCAAGAAAATGAAGAAATATAGCTCCTTGTCCTCATAAATTCTCAAAATTTTCGCCTGCGGCGCTTTAAAAGGAAGATGGATGGTATATAGGAGGATTTAGATGGATGTGGATTTTGAGTTACATCATGTGCTTTCAAGGGGTCATAGGTATTATATTTAGAGGGATTTGGGTGTGATGTCGAGGGATTGAGCTGTGCAAGGTAGATATCAGAGATTGGATAGCTGGGGATTTGGCCTTCCAAAACTTGGAATTTCTCACTTGGCCTGCCTAAATTCACAAAATTTTTGTCTGCGGCGCTAAATGGAAGGAAGAATAGAGTATTATTGAGAATTTGCATGGATTAATGGAGATTTGTAGTGATATTGGGGGACTTCGATGTATCAATATTTATGATGGTATATAGGTGATCTGCTATTTAGGGATCTGGTGGGATTAAGGATAATTTGAAGAAATTTGGAGATCAAAGAATATCATGAAATTGGTGGGGTATCGAGCATATCAGGGGATTTGGGTAGTTCTGTTCGGTTTTTAGGGTCAGTTTCGGTTAACCAGAAGTTTCGGTTCGGTTATTCAGCTCGGTTTCGATTAACCAAAAAATTTGGCAAAATTTAATCTAAGTATTTGGGGAAACCTACACCCCTACTTAAAATAGAAATTTTTTTAAATTTGCAGCAAAAATTTTTTTAAAGTTCCGGTTCCGGTTCCGGGCCGGAACTTAGAGAAGTTCCGGTTCCGGTTCCGGAAACCGGAACTTAAATTGGATCCGGTTCCGGTTCCGGTTTTGGTCAAAATTTCGGTTCCGGTGAAACACTATACCCTACCCTTTAGTCAATCAAATATAGTAAATTTAAAATGATTAATCAACTCTGAGTTACCATTTGAATAATTCTGCCCCCTTTCAGAGCTGTTCAAAGTTCTCAAAGATTATGAAATTTAAGAAATCCTCACTTTCCAAGCATTTCAGCGACAGCGCTTTTAAATTCATTACCAAAAGCAGGATTTTTCTTTTCCTTCTTTTTATTGTCTTCCCAAAGACTTACAAATATTCCAATACCCAAATGCTCGACAAGAGATGAATTTAGGTATTGGTCCCCATCATAGGGGATACAAATTAAAGGAACACCTGCATATATTGCCTTTAAAATTAATTTTAATTTACTTTATGAATCCTTAGATTGTGTTTACCTCAGTCAAACTGTTCTGTCCACAATGCGAAATAAACAATTTTGTATTTGGATCAACTGAAAGGTTAAAAAATTCATTTTTTTGGAAATTTTGCTCTTAAATCTATGAGTTTGGCCTAGTGCTCGGTACGTTTGTATAAGCATATAGCTATTTAATTCCTAGGGCTATGCAGCAGGCGGCATGGTGTAATGGTTAACATATCAGGCGGTCTACTGAAGATGCTGGTTCGCTCCCAGCCGCCAAATAACTGTTTGCACTAGCTAAAGGAGAGAAATAGCTATAGCACAGCTGCTTATCTATTTGAACAAATTATTGAATATTTCATTTTTTATCACATCCATCAAAGGATGTGATTAATGAGGAGACAGGATTAAGTGTAACCGGGGAGTTTAATTAATCCAATAATTAATTAAAGATAAAAATAATTTACATAATATCTGTTTTTGTTCAATAAATTTATTTGTAATTTCAATATTATCAAAACTTGTTGGAGTATAATGGGGTATTTTTATTTTAAATTGATAATTAGGGTGGTTATAAAATACATCATTTATCATAAAATTGGCATCATCTATGTCCATTCCACCAGCCATGTTCAACAGACCAAAAGAGACAAGGACAAGAGTAGGATACTTAAAACGGGTTTTACTTTATTTTAAGATTTAATTATCAGTTGCTATCATTGCCTATTATTTAATTTTACACGCTGTAATAATAGATAGGATTGTGCGCTATAATGGATAACACATCAGTCCGGTCTACTGAAGCTGCGTTATTTAACAATTAATAGGATTTGTTGAAAGTCCTCGGATCATGATTGTGCGCCATAGCGTTTTGGCGGTTAGTTTTATCGAGTTTTAACATTTAGCGTGGTTTAGAAATTTAAAAAAAAGTTGGAATAAAAAATTGGAAAGCAAAATCCTGCTTAGGTTCAGCGCAGGGTGGTCCTTTTACCGTATTTACAGAGGATTTTCCCTATTTTTGACCTTTTCGCCCTATTTTTTCCCTATTTTCTCATTTGCCATATTTTTGCCTTATTTTTAACATCATGTAAAATTTTAAAATGGAAGAAATTTGGCTTCTTTGCCTTCCAAAAATCTTAAAATGTTCGCTTTATTTGAAATTTTAATTATGTTTAAGCTTTTAAAGCTATGCCCTAATTTTTGCCCTATATTTACCCTATTTTAGAGTGGGTGCGCCCTATTTTAGTGTTTTGGAAGGGGCCACCCTGGTTCAGCTCCAAACCGATAGCCCTAAAAATCAAATTCAAATTCTATAATGTGAAAAACTTCAAATTTTGATTAGAATAAATAAATATTCCTACAAAATTCTTTTGTTCTCTCTCCTTAAAATAATCATTTTCCTCAACAAGAATTCCTCCAATATGAACAATTTTTCCACCAACTGGGCTATTTTTAAAATTAGCATATGAATGTTGATTAACAAATGTATAGCTAATTTTATTAAATAAATTTGGGAAAAATTCTCCTCGTTCTCCATCCTTTATATTCATAACATTGACCAATGTTTCGCTAACAATATCTTGATAATATTTTCTAATCGAATGTATTTCAAATAAATTTTCTTCAAAATTTGCCACGAATCTGTCCTCTTTGAAATAACATCCTTCTTGTGTAAATACCCAATCCCCAGGTTTTGGAAATCTTCTTGCTTTAAGTTAAAAATGGTTTATAAAAATATGATTTTAGAACCGGTAGGCCGGAAGTTCCGGGATTTTTTGGTTCCGGTTCCGGTCCTCAGTTCTGGTTATGCCGGAACTTTTTAACACCCCTAAAGATTGATTTCTCATTTTTATGAACGATTTAGCCCCTTCTAAAATTCTCAAAAATCAGGTCAAAAAATCTCAGTTCCGGTTCCGGCCAAATTTGCGGTTCTGGCGAGGATCTAGTCTTTACTAATCTAAGGTTCCGAAGTATAAGCTTCTAGAGGATAATTGCGATCTCATGGCAGTTTTTTGCAGAGACAAAAACCTTACTGAGCACCATAACTTTACCTGGAATAATAGTTTGCCCTTCACGAATTTCTTTTAAAATATCAATTCCAATAAATTGAAATAAAGCAGGGAGAATAATAGCAGGAAGAACATTAAAAGTATTTTTGATCTCTAAAAGCTCAAAAATGGCAAAAGAACCAGCCATTTCAACTAGATCGGCAATTCCAAAATGATATCCTTGCTGGCGAAGATGCTCAAGAGTATGTCGATTTTCATTTTTAATTAAATCTTAAAATAATTTTATAATACTTCTCAAAGTTAAAACTAGATTGGAACGGAAACCAGTGACCAAAACCACCCGGTTTTGATTTTAAAAATTCATCCAAATGCCAGAAATTCCGTGAATTAATTGTATTTCCATAATAAAATTCGCCAAAATACTATTCTCAACTCCTTTTTCAATGGAGCACCATGTTTGGGCTCCAGCGTCTGGACGACACGGATTCAATCTTATGCTATTTTATGGCAATAGAATTGTTATAACCAGAGATTTCGAAGGAACGCAAATCTTATCTCCCAATATAGCTGCAACTCCTATCCTTATTTATTGGAGAAAATTTATTCAAAATCTCGAACCCTCAAAAATTTTAACGCGATATCTTTTTGATTGTTTAAATTCGTTATAAGCGGTCCATTGTCCTTTGCTTGCAATCTTTTCCTGATCCAAATGTTTTATGTCTATATTCAGTTTAATAATTTGTAAATCGTTTGGCATTGGATTGAATTCTATAGGTTCACCGTTTTCTTTACTGTAAACAAGTATATCCTAGAAAATATTTTTGATTTAGGTAGCAATCATATTATTTAAGTTAAATTCTTCTGGTACTACTCACAACCTTTTTACCCATGTCAAAACTCAGTTAGATCAGCTCTAGTGCAGAAATCTGGGTTCATACCAGGGTTATTCCCCGCAGGGGGAGGGGGCCTTGACGGTAGAGTTAAAAGATCCTCACATTAAGGCAGAGTTGGCCAAGGGACAAATTATAAAAATAACTTACTACAGAATAATTTTCAGCTAACGTCTTAGCAAGCATTAACTGAAATATTTAATTATTAATAAGGTCGAAGTTTGTAGGAAATTATTATTGGAATAATTACAAACACAAATTCTTAGGATACGGTTAATGATACTCATCGCCATTAGGGCAGGAGCTTGAGCGACACGGGGGAGGTCATAACAAAGTCAATTTTGACATAGTTTTGTGAAGCCTGACGTTTGTGAAGCCTGGCCTGACTAGATCCGACTTCCCTAAACCAAGTTATAAGTTTTGCTTAGCTGCTGTAGATCGGCTCAGATTTTAGATGAATTTAAAAAATATTTACATGTAATTGAACGTGAGAGTAGAAAAAGTTATCGAAAATATACAAAGCTTTCTTCTTTAAATTTCTTCCTTTAACTTCAGTTTCTTCCTCTACTACATGTGCCTTTCCTTCACGCTGTCTAAATGGTTGATTAGACCTTCTCCTACTTCCACCTCCAAAACACCCTCCAAAATTATTACCCCTTTTACAGCGACGGTGGGATAATAAATTCTTTTTTACTTTAGTTTCTTCATCAGAAATGTTGATGAAAATTAACAAGAAAATGTAAAAAATTAATTTAAAATAATACATTTTCTGAAAATATTTAAAGAATATTAAAGGAGGAAAGTTCCAGGAGTACCGCATAACCTGTATTAATTGCCCCCCCCCCCTTAAATAATTACCCCACTTCCATTAATTACCCCATCCGACGAGAGATTGAAACAATAATTACCCCCAAACAAATACCCTAAAGCACGTTCAAATTTCAAACCTCTTATAATTAACCTCCCTCGATTAATTATTCCCTCCAGAGGAAGGTCGAAACAATAATTACCCAGGGTAGTTATTAAAAGATATACGTTATGTAACTTCTCTTTTTAGAATTATTAATATAATCAGGGATTGAATCTCTTCCGTTTCAGGCATTATCAACCTCTTACGGCTCTTTACACTCCTAATGACAGCAATTATTTTTGAAGAAGTATGCCCGTATTTCCTTATAAAGTCCTAACCAGAATAAGTGCCCACCCTGAAATAGAGCCACACATTCGAGGAATAGAGCTCCATGAGGTATTATTTCTGGAAATACGGTATTTTTGGCCCTACAAAAAATTTTTATCTGCGACAGAATTTTCTTCTAAACTAAAAAAATAATATTGCTGAATTATTTACATAAACAGCTAGCCTGTCCGATATATAAAAAAACTTCGAAAAACCCAACTGATTATTAAAAATTTATTAAAAACTATTATTTAAAATAAGAATTATATAAAAATATTTAATAATTATTTTTAAATGTCGACGCTCTAAAAAATTTTTATATGTACCTTGGCAATAGCTAGCTAGGGGAGGAAGGGGAGGACCACGTAGAATACATATTTTTAAATAGATTTTTTTATTAAAATTGCCAAGAAATATAGAGAGGAGAAAGAGAGAGGCATTTAAAAAAATTTTTTCTCTTAAAAAATTATCGATATATTGACTGAAAAATGAAAAGAATTTTTTAAAATTTATTTAATTAAATAAATATTAATGTTTTTAACATTTGTTTGCGCCGTTTAAATGCACTTCTCTTCTACAGAAAATCCTCTATGGTTTTTTGCAGTCTTGATTCCGATGCACTTTTGGCATAGGAACTGGATCATACCCTTTGCATAAGGAAAAACGGAATGCTGGTTGTTGCGCGGCCAATTTACCCGACTTTAACCCGTCTCAAATAATGCCAATCATCGGATTTGAAACCGATGGATTAACTTTTTATTCAATTTTGAAGGCAAGGATCTATTCTTAATAACACAAAAGTTTTGAGTCGCTTCAATAATCACTCGCCCAGGAATGTAAGAAAATCTCATCCATGTAGGTACGAACTTTTGCCCAAATTTTCCCATGCGCCTTCGGCGGAAAAAAAAACTTCAAAATTCTTGGTTTGAAAGTTCCAAAATCTTAGTTATTTTTGTTCCTTATTTTTTCGTTAAATCATTTAAGGTTTATTTGTAAAGTTAAAATAAAGTTACTTTTTTAGTTACTTTTTATGTTAGTTTTTATAAAGTTATGCCATAAACAAGGTGCCGGGTACTTCTTTGTCACCCTGTAATAATGCGATTGGTATTGTAAACATTGACTTGTAATAATTAAGTTAAACCAGAAATAAATTTTTAATAATAAAAATATAACTAATATAATTTATCAAAATTTTTACTCAAT